GGGGAAGAGTGTACCAGGAGGTGGTAACAGCAAGTGCAAAGGGCCCGAGGCAGAGAGAGAGCCAGGGGCCCGTAGCGGAGAAGCAGGGCCTTGTAGCGTTTGATAAAGTATATAAATTTCACTCTAAAGGAGATGGGAAGCCGCTGGAAGAGTCCATGATTTCTAACTTTTCATGGAAGAACCTTCAGAATCTACTTGAATATAATTCTGAGGAAACACCTGACATAACCAAATGGAGGAATTGTCTATAAAATAAGTGGCCTGCGTTCTTAAAAATACCAATGTCCTAACCGACAAAGAGAGGTTGGGAAACTGTTCCAGAACAAAGGAGACTAAATGACAATGAAATGCACGCCGTGATCCTGGGCTGCATGCTCTAAAAGACATTAATTGGGATGATGGACAATATTGGAATGTGGATTAGAGACTGGACAACATTGTGGTATTAATATTCAATTTCCTGAAGTTGGCTCTTGTGTTGTGGATATGTACGAGAATATCTTGCTTTTAGAGTGAACACAATGAAGTATTAGGGGGTAAAGGAGTAAGGCTTAGGAGTGATAAACACCGTTAGAGAGTGGGGGAAACTGCTACCCTCAGAAGTGAGTCTGTACGTAAATATGCAGTAATTTGACCCCTGAATCATCCCCCAGAGGGAATGAGGGCCTCAGCAAGGAGGCTGCAGATCTAAAATCATGATCCTTAAAACCCTCACTTTGATGACACAACATTGTTATATTTCTGTTAAATTTTTCACCCCATCCCCAAAACAGTTTCTGTGGTTTCTGTATCTCTAGAGAACCTTCAAAAGAAGACACCCTTCTCATCTGAGTAGATGACAGCCACCCTCTGATGAGGTGATAAAAGCTTTACTCAAGTAGATAAAAGTCTCAAATTTCTCTGGAACCGACATCCCTAAGAACACTGGCTTTCATCCAAGAAAATCATCCCTAACATTTAATCTTTGTGCTTTAAAAAGCTAACTCAAAAGTGTGACCAAAAATTAAGCTCTGAGTAAACAGTGGACATAGATTGCATTTGCTTAGAGTCCACATTTTGTCTGTTGGCTAAAGATGAATGTTGGAAGACATGGGCAATATACGGAGTGAGAAAGATGGTTTGGGCTGAAACGGCCATTCTTCAGCACGAAGCATTTTTATGAGCATCTATTACGGTCAAGATAGCCTGTTAAGTGCTCTGTACAAAATAAAGACAATTTAAACATGACATCTTCCTCTGATTTTGTGCCTTCATACTAGAGGATTTTGGCGAGGCTCAAAAAAAAGACCGTGATTTAGTTTTATTGTATTTAAAACATTTTAGGAGGTGTGACTCACAGTGCCTCTGGGGAAACAGCAGCTCTGCCGACCGTGGACTGGGCTGTACCAGCTGTTGGTTTTCCCAATGAAATGGCAAATAAGCACAAATGCTTGCATTTGAGAAATTAGGTGAGACAGTGGAGCAAATCCAGGAAAAGGTTATGATAGTGCTAAAGCAGTGCAAAGTGGGTTCTTATTAAGAGAAGTCTAGAGAAATTGAGGTTCTATTTCCCAGAGAGGATGATACTTAATTACCATCTTCACATGTATAAAAGGGATACTTAATGAGAAGGGTTTTGCCCACTTGTTTTCCAACTTCACTGAGCCATAAACAGAAGAAAACAAGTTCAAATTTTAAAGGAAGACTTTTTGGATAAACATTTGGATTTGCTGATCTTAGAAAATCAAACCCAGAAGCTACCATGGGTTCCTAGAGGACCCTCAAAAGAATATACAACTCTCCACTTTGGAAGACATAGGCATTAGCTGGCTTCTCACCCAAGTAGATGACAGCCACCCTGTGATGAGCTGATAAAAGAACAGCCACGGAAGCTCATTACCCTCGCCCCAAAGAACTTCCCACTGGCCCTCCCGTAGTGCCTGAGATTCTCACCTTAGCCATTTCTTTTCCTTTCGGTTAAGGCATTTAAGGTTTCAATTAAAATGTAAATGTGATCTGAAGAGAATGACATTCTGCTAGGATCAGCCATTAACATCTCTTCTCAATAAGTTGTCAGGTGAGTGAGTCACCTATTAGGGCGTTGGGAAAACTCCGGGACCTCAGAAAATAAGGTAGAACGAGGAAGTTTGGATGGTAGAGAAAGCACTGGGGAAACTTCAGAGTTTTTTCTGGGGAGGAAAAATCTGGGTGGGTCAGCGCTGTTAGCAACCATGAGGATTCAGACATGAGAGCACTGATTTGGATTTGACCTCTTCCATCTACTTCACTTTCTTCTCTCCTCTCCTCTCTCCCCTCCTTCTCTCACCTCCTCTCCCTCTTCTCTCCCTTCCTTCTTCTTGCAATTATTTCTGCAATTATCGCTGGAACTAGATGTTAGATGCATCATCCTAGGTTCTGAACACGCCTTGAACACGTTTTACTGCCACTTAATTTCCCAAAGGAGGATGCTATTCTCCATGTACTGCACAGATATAACCCCCTCTGGTCCATTAGGAGTGTCAATACCAGAGCAAAGAGCACATCACAGGAAAAGCTTTCATCCCTGAGACGCATATACCAGCGGCAGCACTGACTGGTAATACCTTGGGGCCCTGACCCTTCGAAACATAACCCATGCGTCTCTTGCCATATAGGCACTTGCCCTACATGCAGTGAATATCTCCTTTGTTTCGTTCACCCTGTCATAGTTCATTAACTTTTTTTTTTAAGTCTAGAGCGTCTACTGTTTGTTCTGTCAATTTGACAACGGGATTTGAGAATCTTCTTATTGTTTTCTAAGTACTTGGTGTGCAAATAATTCTTGGGGTCACACATTGACTGTTGCAGCTTCCTCTGTAGCCTTTCCATTAAAAAAAAAAGTTCCCCCTCCTACACTGTTGGTGGGAATGGAAATTGGTGCAGCCCCTATGGAAAACAGTATGGACGTTCCTCAAAAAACTAAAAATAGAGTTGCCATATGACCCAGCAATCCCATTCCTGGGCATATATCCGGAGAAAGCTCTTATTCAAAAAGATGCATGCACCCCTATATCCACAGCAGCACTATTTACAATAGCCAAGACATGGAAGCAGGGCTCCCTTGGTGGCGCAGTGGTTAAGAATCCGCCTGCCAATGCAGGGGACACAGGTTCCAGCCCTGGTCCAGGAAGATTCCACATGCCATGGAGCAACTAAGCCAGTGTGCCACAACTACTGAGCCCGTGCGCCACAACTACTGAAGCCTGCAAGCCTAGAGTCTATGCTCTGCAACAAGAGAACCCACCACAATAAGAAGCCCACGCACTGCAATGAAGAGTAGCCCCCGCTCGCCACAACTAGAGAAAGCCTGCGTGTAGCAACGAAGACCCAATGCAGCCAAAAGTAAATAAAATAAAATAAAATAAAATTAATTAATTAAAAAAATAGCTTAAAAAAAAAAGACATGGAAGCAACCTAAGTGTCTATTGGTGGATGAATGGGTAAAGAAGATGTAGTACCTATATACAAGGGAATACTATTCAGCCATAAAAAAGGAATGAAATAATGCCATTTGCAGCAACACGGATGGACCTAGAGATGATCATACTAAGTGAAGTAAGTCAGAAAGAGAAAGACAAATACCATAGGATATCACTTATATGAGGCATCTAAAATACAACAGGAATGAACATATCTAAGAAACAGAAACAGTCTCACAGACATAGAGAACACACTGTGGTTGCCAAGGGGGGCGGGCAGGTTGGGGAGGGATGGATTGGGAGATTGGGGTTAGCAGATGCCAACTATTATGTATAGAATGGATAAACAACAAGGTCCTACTGTATAGCACAGAGAACTATATTTCATATCCTGTGGTAAACCATAATGGAAAAGAATATGAAAAAAAGTGTTCCCTGTAGGTGTGTTTAACTCAGAAAGCTCAACTCACTTAGCCATTTACTTTTGTACTTATTTTTTCCATAATAAAATTTAATACAATAGCACTGTGCTTAAAACATTAAAATCATTTTTAGTGTTAGAAACAGTATTCTGAACGATATATAGCAAAATAGATGAGAGATAAATACTTACCACTGGGAAGTTTTCCTCTCTAGCTCTTAATGATTACAATGTATTCATTCCACACATTTTTACCAAGTGCCTGCCCTGCCCAGGCTTCTGGCCAGGCACAGAGCATACAGTGTAAACACAATGACTGCCCGAAGTCCAGCTGTTTTTCTCTATCTGCACTTTCTCCTGAACTCAAACAAAACGAGACCCTGGAGAGAAATGAGTTGTACTCTTTCTTTTTGTTTGCGGTACGCGGGCCTCTCACTGTTGCGGCCTCTCCCGTTGCGCAGCGCAAGCTCCGGACGCACAGGCTCAGCGGCCATGGCTCACGGGCCCAGCCGCTCCGCGGCATGTGGGATCTTCCCGGACCAGGGCACGAACCCGTGTCCCCTGCATCGACAAGCGGATTCTCAACCACTGCACCACCAGGGAAGCCCCATGAGCTGTATTCTTAAAGGCTGGGTTTTAAAGTTGACTACTGGAAACTCGCAACCCCATTCCTCCTGGGAAGAATGATATCAGGGCAGTTAGATTCCAGGACCGCCTACAAACGTGATGTATAAATCTGCCGGAAATATAGTCCTGAAGAATCTGCCTGGACGCCCTTTAACCACGATAAAAACACCCATTTTAAGGAACACTACGGCAACTCAGGACTGGAGGAACATATCTGTCCCCGGGGGCTTCTGAACAAGGCAGAAAACCCGGAGCACAACAAAGCGTTTCAGTGCCTGCGCTGGCATCTCCAAAAGCAAACAGTCCTCATCTGTTCCCACTTGTGGATCAAAAGGCAGCTGAACCCACAGGGAGGGAGAAGTGTGAGATCGTTCATAAAGGCGTGTGTACTGCTCTCGGACGGGCAGTCACTAAGCCTCTCGTGCAAGTACCTGGCCCTGGGCTCCGGGCAACCTCAGCTAAGCGAAAGCCCCAAGGGTCTGGGCCCCAAGGCCCGCGTGGACTAAACGACTCACCCCAGTGCCTGCCGCTCCGCAGCCTTAGCGCTGGGATCATTCTCTGCTCAGTCAGCGCTCTCTTTTCTCAGCTGCACTTGTTCTGTGCGCTGATAAAGGATGGAGAAACGCAGTAGCTGAGTCTCCACTGGCATTTTCCCCGGATGTCCCAGGCAGTTGAATATTTACTCATCCACGATGCCCTTCTGACCCACAGGTCCAGCTGCGAGCAGGAACTAGTTAGTGCCTTTTCTCTTGTATTATTTCTGACTCGTCCTCGCCGTCCTCCTTCCAGCCTGTTCACCCACCCACCTCTTAGGCCCCTCCCTGTGGCGTGCCATCCTTGCTGATATGTCCTGCCGCTAAGTGTCTCTGACACTCTCATACTTGTTCATGTTTCCTTCCCCCGTGACATGATATGTTCACTGATGGCTGAGACTTTGTCTTACTTACCTTTGATGTTCAGGTCAAATCTAGTGGCAGGCACTCAAAAAATGTTCAATAATTGAGAGACTGTATCTGCTAGTGTGGTTGACTTCAAGATAGAGAGAGGGGCAGGTCACAGCACCAGCTTCAACTCCAAATTGCTCCCTTGCCAAAATGCCAGCGCATGGTGGCAATGTGTACGGTTTGACATGGATTTATATTCGTTTTTTTCTCTACTGCCAAAAACATAAAGAATGGTACTGTTCTCTGACACAGAGTATCTTCTCAAAATTTTTTGGAATTTTGTACTAGGCTTATCATAGAATTTTAAATTAATTCCCCTACTGTGAGGGGAATTTAGAGGTACGAGTTTCCAGTTACAAAATAAATGAGTCACTGGTATGAAATGTACAGTGTGGGAAATATAGTCAATAATAATGTAACATCTTTGTATGGTGACAGATGGTAACTAGACTTATCGTGGTGATCATTTTGTAATGTATAGAAATATTGAATCACTATGTCATGTCCCTGGAACTAACATAATGTTGTAGGTGAATTATACTTTAAAAACAAACTCATAGAAAAGGAGATCGGAGGTGAGGGGGCAGGGGGAATTGGATGAATGTGGTCAAAAGGTATGAACTTCCAGTTATAAGATAAGTAAGTACTAGGGATGTAATATACAAGATGATTAATATAATTAACACTGTTGCATGTTATATATGAAAGTTGTTAAGAGCATAAACCCTGAGTTCTCATCACAAGGAAAAACACTTTTATCTTTTTTTTTATGTCTATATGAGATGATAGATGTTCACTAAGCTTATTGTGGTAATAATTTCATGGTGTAAGTCACATCATTATGCTGTACCCCTTAAGCTTATATAGTGCTGTATGACAACTATACTTCAATAAAACTGGAAGAGAAAATGCATAATTAAAAATAAATAAATAAAATAGATTTTTTTAATTTGAAAGGACTTAAATGAGAAGCAAATTGATTTCACCACAAACATTAGAGCACCATTTTAAATAGTATTAAGTAAATAAAAATTTCCTAAAATTCAAATTCCAAAGCCAATGTCAATAGTTGCGCTTCATTACTTTCACCTGTCTGACTAAAGAGTGTGTCAGCCGTACTGAATCTGCATATTACTTGCTATTTCGCCTCAGTGCTGCAGTATTCATTGTCAATTAAATGTGTATTAATCATATAAGCTACATGAAGACTTTACATTATTTTAGTGCATTGTATGCATGTACTTCGAATATCATTTTTCCTGGAATGGGCTCTTCTCTTTGTCCTAAAGAAATAGTCTTGGATCCAGAAATTCAAAATGAATAGTAGGAAGACCACATTAGATATGTTTATCGTGCCTAAGAACACGTGTTAAGGCTGGACTAAAGTTTGTAGTACGATGTAGCGATGAAATACCTTATGTAACTGTTGTTTTGTAAATGTCTACAACATGTAGCCCTTTCTCATTTTGGCAATATTGAATTCAGATGAAGTTTCCTCCATGCTTTAGTAATCATCAGTACATGTTCATACTTTGATAAGTTCAGGTAGACAGGGATCTTCGATAGACAGATCCCACAGGTGGAAATGATGAGGAAACTGATCTAGAGAAAACGAGCAATGTACTATTTTTTCTGCAGCCCTGAAATAATCTTAAAAATAAATTATACAGTAGTTGATATCGAGGCAATAAGGAGATCACTGTGACAACAGAAACTGTCGCATGTGTTTCTGAATACCCTCTAGGAGCGTGAAAGCCATTTTCTGGCTCATTTAAAGGGCTTGATCTCCTTTGCTAGAATATCAAGTCGTATAAAAGTAAAGAAACTCTAGAATTATGGAGAAATTGATTTGAGGGCAGAAAGACCTCCTTCAGGTTTCTTAAAGCATCAGGTAGCCATCTGCCTGCACTAACCACACCTGTGACCGGCCTAAGTCTAAGCCCTCTGTGGGATATTTCAGGGGTACGTGGTCTAGGGAAGGGCCAGTTCTATTTGCAGTAAATTGATATTACTTGTAGGATGTGGGTGTGTCTTGGGGTGGGTGGGTATGTAAGATGGATTCTGATGATCCATTGTGGCCTCAGAACCACCCCTGCACCTGCCCTTGGGGTCCTCAATCTGACTGACGCTTGGGAAAGCCATATTGACAGGAGAAGTGCGGGGTGGGGAGTTTACATACCAGTGTGTATAATATGTGTTTGTAAAGATATATATCATAATTTACGCTTCTGCATTTTCCAAGTTTTCTACTATAAGCATGTGTTATTTTTATCAGAAAATATCCTTTTTATAAAGAAATGAGAGGAAGAGGTGGGGAAGCAGCATTTCTCAAAATATCTGAAGTCACAATGAAAAGTGAAAGCATCCTGTGTTTTCGTCATTGCAGAGGTTAGTAAAGGACACCAAATGGGCTGAAATTGAAACACAAGAGGTTTCAATTAAAGAGAGGAAGATAGCAGCCTTGGGAGGGGAGCGGGGAGGGGGAGCAGAATGAGTTTCCGGTCTGAGAAAGGCCTTTCTCCTCTCTAGTGGAGACAGCTTGTTCTTCAAACTTCAGCCATTGTATCTTATTCTGACGGCAGCAAAGATGAAACACAATTCGCCCATCTTTTTAACCTACCCTTTAAAATGGACCAACAGTGTTCTCCTTGAGATGGCATGGCATGTTTCTTCAGAAAGTGTAAGAGCTCTTACCAATTACAGACTCTGGGGTGAAGGGGGCTCCTGGGTAGATAGATCAGACAATATGATGAGATCAGAAACTTGTGTTCTCACTCGAAAAGCACTAGCTCGTGGTCCGGCAAATGCCCACGCCCCACCCCTGCCCAGTAACAACATCACCACTCTCTTGGGAGCAACTGACTGCAGACCACAGATCCTGAAACGTTTGCAGTGGGATTGTGCCCCTCCTGCAAAATCAACTTAAAATAGTGTTAAGTCTACAGAGCAGCTCTGTGTTATCCAATTAGACAGTCCCAGGGAAGTCCCATAGAAGCCAGTTTTCAACTGAGTTCACTCTTGAAGGGCTGGAAACCATCAGAGATATCCCCTTTCAAAGCATTGTTTACTGTGTGATTTTTCACTCCTTCCTTGCATGGCTTCCAAAGGATTTAAAGTAGGTACAAAGCATAGCATGGTGCCTTTTGTACTCAGTACTGGTGACTTAATGCTAAATTGAAAATTACCCACAAGGTATTGAGGGACATGTAAAAATCATTATGGTCAAAGTTATCGTAATGATTTCTCTCCTTCTGGATTCAATGGGAAATGTTTGTTGCTGCCCTAGGCTGAGTCCAAATGACTATTTGACCCCAAAACCCTTAAAGGGACAAAAGGGACTGTGGCCACCTCTGTATGATCACACACTTTGGATGCCCACTGGAAAGGCCAAAGAACCACTGGACTAAACAGCATTGGAGACAGCCCTTGACAAATGACTTTCCCGCTGGCTATATGCACTTGTTTTTATATAGTAACAGCTTTAACATATACGTGGCTCATTAATTTTAATTTTCATACAGATGAAAAGTTGCCAACTACTGAGTGGAAAAAGCACTAAACTAAGAGCCGTGGCCGTTCTCTGTCCCTGTGAACTTGAACAAGTCACAACCTCATCAGGTCTCACCTTTTCTACCTATAAAATGAGAATAACCGTATCTACCCCATCTCAGTCACCTAGTTTTTTAAAGATTGCATGATGCTTTAACCAGTTTATTTTATTTAATAAACAGTTACATAGGACTTATTACACCCCTGGAATTTGTGTGAACTCATTTAATTCTCATAATAATCCTGTGAAGGAGGTATTATTATTCCCATTTTACAGATGAAGAAACTGAGACACAGAATTTAACTGAAAACATTAAGCTGTAAATTATTAATAACAAGAATTGTTGTTCCTTTCTAAACACAAAAGTAATTAGCATTTCTCTCACAATTCTGATTTCTATTCCCCTAAATTAATTTCGCACAGGGTCTCAGGGCTTCTTGGATTTAGCCAGACTTCATTTTCTTGCCTCTCTATGTCAGGTTTTCCTATTGTTATGGGCTGAATTGCATCTCTCCAAACTTCCTACATGGAAGTCCTAAAACCCTGATACCTCAGAATGTGATTGTATTTGGAGATAGGAGCTTTAAAGAGGTAATTAAGATTAAATGAGGTCATTAGCGTGGGCCCTAGTTCAATATGACAGAGTCCTTATAAGAAGAAATGCTTAGGACACAAACACAGACAGTGAAGACATCAGAGGAAGACATCCATGGCCAGCTACAAGCCAGGGAGAGAGCTCTTAGAAGAAACCAACCATGTCAAAACTTTGATCTTATCCTCTAGCCTCCAGAACTGTAGAAGAGAAATTTCTGTTGCTTCAGCCACCTAGCCTGTGGTACTTTCTTATGTCAGTCTGTGATGGTTAATTTTATGTGTCAACTTGACACATGGGGTGCCCAGATATTTGGTTAAACATTGTTCTGGGTACAGTTGTTAGAGTTTCTCAATGAGAATAACATTAAAATCAATAGCTTGAGTCATGCAGATTTGCCTTCCCCAAGATGAATGGGGTCATCTAATCCACCGGAGGCTAGAATGGAATAAAAAATGCTGGAAACATGGAATCAGCTCCCTCTGCCTGACTGTCTTCAAGTTGGGACATTTGTCTTCTCCTGCCTTCATCTGAAAACTCAAAGTAGAACTTACACCATTGGCTCTCTTGTTCTGAGGCCTTCAGACACTGACAGATGCTGTGTCATTGGTTCTCCTGTGTCTCTAGCTGATCGACTGTAGATCATGAGATTTCCTACCCACAACAGCTCATTCACTTAAATGTCTGTAATTAAAGGGTGAGAATCAAGCATTTATCATGAACCTCCTCTAAGAACTGTACCCTTAGGTAACCAAATACTAGACGTTGAGAAGTTTCTCTTCTTAGAAGTATTACAGATAATAAATAAACATAGAATGATAAAATTAGAATATCACCATCTTGGTTCTAGACTTTGAATATCAGTAGCTACAGACATAACAAAAAGAGTCTGTGTACCTCCTGACGGAAGAATGCACCGTCATCCATGAAGTCATCTTGTTAGAAAAAATAATTGAAACTAAATCTGGTCAAACCTTAGATCCAAATGCTAAT